TGCTCCCTTTGGGACTGCAAGGAGCGCCTGCCGTGTTTATGCAATTGATCAATGAAACTCTTCATGAATTTTTATATAAAGGGGTTCTAGTGTATCTTGATGATATTTTAATCTACACAGAAATGATGGAAGAACACATCAAGCTACTCCATGCAGTCCTCACAAAACTCTTAGAAGCTAAACTATATGCAAAACTAAATGTGAATTCCACCAAGAAAAAATTGACAATTTGGGGTATAGAATATCCCACAAGAGAATAGAGATGGACCCACAGAAAGTAAAAGCTGTCATGGACTGCAGCCCACCGCACACCTGCAAAGATTCCTGGGGTTTGCGAACTTTTATCGCCAGTTCATTCCAGCTTTTGCAAACATCGCCCTCCCTATCACGAACTTGCTAAAAATGAAGGGGGAGGAGAAACCCAAACCAAGGCAACCCCTTATCTGGACAATGGAATGCCAAGTGGCATTCGAAAAACTCAAAAGTCTATTCTCAGCAGAACCGGTCCTTAAGCATCCAGATCCCGAACAACCTTTTGTCATCCAAGCAGATGCTAGTGATGTTGTAGTTGGAGCAATCCTCCTCCAAAAGAATGGAAATGGACAATTACAACCATGCGCTTATACATCCAAGAAACTGACAGAAACTGAGCAAAGATGGTCCATATGGGAGAAAGAGGCATATGCTGTGCGGTGGGCAATGCTCACATGGAGACATTTCCTGGAAGGAAACCAAATCCCCTTTGAAGTATGGACTGATCACAAAAATCTGGATGCCCTGAAAAATCCACGGAAACTCTCCGAAAAACAAGCAAAGTGGGCTCAATATTTTAAACAGTTTAATTTCACTCTCAAATATTTTCCTGGGAGAAAGAACTTCTTAGCAAAAGCACTGTCCAGAAAACCCCAATACAACAGCAAAAAGATTGAGATTATAAAACCAATGATCCAACCAAGCCAACTAGCAGCCAAAGTAATCACCCAGGCACAAGAGAAAAAAAAATCATCACTGACTGAAGACACAACGACATCAATATTTAAGGAGGCACCACTTAAGGGCGACTGGCTCCTTGCTAACAAAAACACTTGTTTACTCAAAGATGGACTGGCCTGAGTAGAAAACAAACTTTATGTCCCTGCAAGCCAGAGAATGGATCTCATGAAACACTGCCATGACTCCAAAATAGCAGGACACTTTGGTTTTGTAAAAACCCTGCAGTTTTCAGGACACTGAAAACTATGTTGCGAGCTGCCCCAATTGTGCTGCTGCAAAGAGAAGACAAGGAAAATCTTCTGGACTTTTACAGACAGTAGCAGACCCTTCTGCACCCTGGAAAGAGATTTCTGTGGGCTTTATTGTGGAGCTTCCCAAAAGTGCTGGAAATACTGAGATTTGGGTTGTAACTGATCTTTTTTCAAACAGGTTCACTTTATTCCATGCCAAAAGATCCCAACTGCCAAGGCATTGGCAAAGATGTTCCTAATACACATTTATCGCCTTCATGGAGTTCCCCAACAGATTATCTCAGATAGGGGTGTTCAGTTCACATCCAAATTGTGGCGGGCATTTTTAAACCTATTAGGCTCCACCCAGGGTTGTCATCAAATAACCCCCAGACGGATGGATCAAGAGAGAAAGTTAACAGTGTATTAGAACAATATTTAAGATGTTTTATTAATTATCAACAGGACAATTGGACTGACCTTCCTTTTGCAGAGGTAGCATACAATAACTCAGTACATAGCAGCATGGGGTTCACCCCATTCCAGGTAGCCACAGGCCAAGAATTCAACTCCATGCCAAAACTACCCACCAAAGAACCTGAAATCCCCACCCTTAAGGAGTGGATCAATAACTTACAAGCCATGTGGCCAGTGGTAAGATTATCTTTACAGGAAGTTAGAGCAGTTTTTAAAGCTCAAGAAGACAAAAAACTCTGTGATCCTAAACCTTTCCAGATTGGGGACCATGTATATTTGTCCACAAAATTCTTAAAATCATTACAACCCTCTAAGAAACTAGGGCCCATTCCCCATCTCCAGAATTATTAACCCTGTGACGGTAGAGCTTCAATTTCCCAAAACACTTAAGCAGATTCATCCAGTATTTCACTGTAGCTTGCTCAAACTGGAGATCACTTCAAACCTCAGACCCCCCCACCCTTCCCACACGTCCAACTCCCATCATGGTACATGGGGAACAACATTCTGAAATTAAAGATATCCTTGATTCGCGCACTCACCGTGGATCCACACAATATTTGTAGCTTGGAAACACCTTTCTTCCTCAGAAAATGAGTGGGTAACCAAACAACACGTGAAAGTACCCACATTACTACGTAAGTTCCACCTAAAATACCCTGATAAACCATCCTAAATTGCAAATGTAATGCATGATTTTTGTTTTTTACAGGTAGACCTATCTTTTTTAAGAAGGGCAGGATGTCAGATCCATGCATCTGTCATTTCTTCAATGGAAGAAGAAAGGGGGTGGGGGTGGAGACTGATAAAGAAATCCTTCTTGATGTAACCTGAATATATTTAATTTTATATCAAATTTGTATAACCTACACATGATACAATGGAGGGATGAAACCCAGATGGCCGGAACCTATCACCTCTGAGAGAGACAGCCAGGAGGTGAAGAGACCATAAAAATTCCACAGTAAGATATGTCCTGGGAAACTGAAAAAGATCGTTCTAAGAAGGGGGTGGGGGGAATTAACATGTTGCCTCTTTGTTTTACTAAATACACATCAAGAGAAGGGGAGGGGTTTTAAACTCCCTTATCTATCTCTGCATGTCTGAGAGACCTTAGACGTTACTTTTAACCCCTACATGAATTGTCTCATCTCAATAAAGGATTCCTTTTGATAGGTTTTGATACGTTTTCAGAAGTTCATTCTAGTTGATTGAATGGGAAAAGTTCTGTAGCCTGACATAAACGCAATACACAGCCATTACTGTCTAAAACACTGGCAACAAAAGTGAGTACACCCCTAAGTGATAATGTCCAAATGGGGCTCAAGTAGCCATTTCCCCTCCCTGGTGTCATGTGACTCGTTAGTGTTACAAGGTCTTAGGTGTGAAGGGAGAGCAGGTATGTTAAATTTGATGTTATCCCTCACACTCTCATACTGGTTATTGGAAATTCAACATGGTACCTCATAGCAATGAACTCTCTGAGGATCTGAGAAAATGAATTGTTGCTCTACATAAAGATGGCCTAGGCCAAGACCCTGAAACTGAGCTGCAGCATGGTGACCAAGACCATACAGAAGTTTAACAGCACAGGTTACACTCAGAACAGGCCTCGCTATGGTCAACCAAAGAAGTTGAGAGCCCATGCTCAGCATTATATCCAGAGTAGGCTTTGGGAAATAGACATATGGGTGCTTGCCAGAATTGCTGTAGAGGTTGGAGGGGTCAGTTGTCAGTGCTCAGACCATACACTGCATGCTGCATCAAACTGGTCTGTAGGGTTGTCATCCCAGAAGGAAGCCTCTTCTAAACATGATGCACAAGGAAGCCCACAAACGGTTTGCTGCAGACAAGCAGACTAAGGACATAGATTTCTGGAACCATGTCCTGTGGTCTGATGAGACCAAGATATACTTATTGGGTTCAGAAGCTGTCAAGCATATGTGGTGGCAACCAGGAGAGGAGTTCAAAGAGAAGTGTGTCTTGCCAACAGTCAAGCATGGTGGTAAGAATGTTATGGTTGGGCTGCATGAATGCTGCCAGCACTGGGGAGCTACAGTTCATTGAGGGAACCATGAATGCCAACATGTACTGTGACATGCTGAAGCAGAGCATGATCCCCTCCCTTTGGAGACTGGGCCACACGGCAGTTTTCCAACATGATAACAACTCCAAGCATACATCCAAAACAACCACTGCCTTGCTAAAGAAGCTGTGGGTAAAGGTGATGGACTGGCCAAGGATGTCTCCAAACCTAAATCCTATTGAGCATCTGTGGGACATCTGAAATGGAAGGTGGAGGTGTGCAAGGTCTCTAACATCCACCAGCTCCTTGACGTCATGGAGGAGTGGAAGAGGACTCCAGTGGCAACCTGTGAAACATTGGTGAACTCTATGCCCAAGAGGTTTAAGGCAGTGCTGGAAGATACTGATGGCCACACAAAATATTGACACTTTGGGCTCCATTTGGACATTATCACTTAGAGATGTACTCACTTTTGTTGCCAGCAGTTTAGACATTAATGGCTGTGTGTTGCGTTATTTTGAGAGGGCAGCACATTTACACTGTTATACAAACTGTATACTCACTACTTTACATTGTAGCCAAATGTCATTTTTTCAGTGTTGTTATATGAAAAGATAAATATTTACAAAATGTGAGGGAGTATTCAATTTTGTGATATACTGTATATACCATCAATGCTATATCTACAGTGTAGTATTGCTAAAGACTTCCAGGTCTTTAGAAAATAGGTAGTTTCTTTGTACCACTGATAAACATGTAAAAGGAAAGAAATTGTAAGATACAACTTTTCTATAATATTACTATCATGATGGAAACTAATTGCCAGATATTGCCAGATACTCTTGTTAAAATGTCATGGAATCTTCCTGAATATTCTATCCACTAAGGGAAAATAAAGAATGTAATAAAAAAGAAAAAAAATGAAATTAGAAAGAACATGTTAAGTAGTGGCACAGTGCAGAAACCAGGTGGGCAAAGAGGGATAAATCAAGCAAGTGGTGACAAGAGAAAGGAGTGGGTCTTAAAAGCAGGGAAAAGGATAGATTTTGGAATCCTGTAACAAAAACTATTGCTGATAAAAAGTAATTGAATCTAGTAGTAATAGGAAAGCATATGAGGAGGAATTATAGTTCTAGAAACCAAGGGATGGTGTCTTTCAAGAATTGTAAAAAATAAACATTTCTCCTGGTTCCCATCACCACAAGAAGAAAACTGGTATATACATTAATCTGAACCTCCCCAACACTCGTTTGTCAACAGGGTTCTAATCTCACCTCAGATGTTTCAAAGGATTGTATTTCTCTTGGCAATGCTACTGCATGCCTATTGAAGTAGTCCATGGTGATTGCATTGTTCCAATAACTCAGGTTGTTTTCTGGATTTGATGTCTTCTTTTTTCGTCGCATGCAGCACACAGTTAATAGCACAGCTGTAAATACAAACATGTTGGGTTTCTGTTGTGAATCAAGTGGAATGATTGCTAGTATGAAATATTTAGACTAGAGCTACTTTATCATTACTGGACTCTTTCCAACCTCATTCCTAATAGCATGATATATACTACAGCAACTTGATTAGATGCGTTATGTCTGGAGGCTTCCATTTTACCTTGTATCAAGCAATTATTTATTGATTTATTTATTATTTTACTAGACAACCTAGGACCAATTGGGTCATCCTTTCAGAATTATTTCCTTACATGAAAAGAGCTTATTTAAAATAAATTATTTATATTATAATAGTATTCTTATTATATCACCTCCTTCTTTCTACATGTAATATAAGCTGTTTCCTTTCTTCTCATAATACTCAGCAGAATACCAGTTAAGCAGCTTCCTCTGCAGGAAGAAGGAAATGAAGCTGTGGATCATGACACCCTTTTCCCATACCATCCAAGCATATTTCTAAGGGCCCACTCCTTCCAGGGAGACAGCTGTTGTGTCCTCTCACCCCCCCAACAACCAGCCCAGTCACATAAGCAAATATATTTCCTTGTCTTTCACTATCCATTGCTGTTAAAATATTTCAAATTTTGTCCTCAGTTTCAAATCAGCCAGTCATCAGTCAGTTGGGCACAGGAGCCAGAGGGAGGTGGGAAAGAAAGCAGGGACATACCCCTTCAATGCTCCCTTGTGCCATGCAACCTACAGGTTTCTGGAAATGTAGTTAGAAATCACAATCAAGTGACAACTTTGCAAATATAACAAGTGTGAAAATTCTTGAAATTTCAATTGCAGAAGAGTAATGGATTCCAAATTTTGCGTGCTTTCTTTAAATTATCAGATTTGAGGTACCTTGATTCAGAATTTTTTGGGCTTTGATGCATTCATTATTTGGTTGAATGGATGAACAAACAGGAATATTTTAGCAGTGTATACACAGAACCAGTGTAAGCTCAATATTCAGTATCTACATTTTAATGTAGATTTTTATAGTTATAGACATCTTAAAACGGTTAATTTCCCAGGTTACAAGCATTTCCTTTGTGAACGTTCAAAGTTTTACGCAATCAGCACCCACTAGCATTTACAAACAAGTCCCAAAATAACAAATCTTACACCACCATGGCAGTTGTTCACTCTTACTAATGACCGCCTCTGAAACATTCACCCCACCTATTTCCCCCACGCTGGGTCTTCACAGGCACTTCACCTGTGGAGACTCACTTACCTTGCAAAGATCTCTCACGGTTTCTTTGCCTGCTTCACTGCTTCAGGCTTTTGGTGCATTCACAGAGAACAAAGGCTTAATGTACTGCGAGTTCAGTAGTGCAAGATCTTATGCTACTGATCTTGTGTGATCTCACACTTTAGGCCACTATTATCTGGGAATTAAGGCCTGGACATTTGCAAATGGAGGGAAGGCTTCAGGCCCTCCCTCCATTTGCCATTTCCTTGCTGAAGCCTGCAGGGAGATTGCATTCTTGTAGGCTTCAGCAGCCCTTTGCAAAAACTTTTGTTGGCACCAGTGGAACTTGGGAAGAGCGGGCGCATCCCTCCAAAGCTCTGTTCCTACCGGCAAAGCTTTTTGCAAAGGCTGCTGAAGCCTACAGGGATGCAATTCTCAAGCACAGAGGGGTATGAGTAGGCTCAGAGGGGTATGTGTCCCTCTGAACCTCCTTTTTTGTCACCAAAAGCCAACTCAAGCAGTTTGGTAGTGAGAAAGGAAGGCCGGAAGGGCGCGTTCATCCCTCTGGGCCTCCTTTTTTGTCGCTGAATAGTTTAGCAGCAAGAAATGAGGCCCAGAAGGGCATACATGGGCCTCCTGCATCCCTCTGGGCCTCCTTTTTCGTTGTCAAAGGCCAATTCAAGAGCTTCAGTAGTGAGAAAGGAGGCCCAGAAGGCCTCCTCCATCGCCAAAGTCTGACTCAAGTGGTTTGGTGACGAGAAAGGAGGACAGGAAGGCCGCACATGGCCTTCTGGGCCTCCTTTTTCATCACCAAAGGTTGCCTCAAGTGGTTCAATGATGAGAAAGGACACCCAGAAGGATGTAGGCCTAATTTTTTGTCACCAAAGGCCGACCCAGATAGTTGGATGGTAAGAAAAGTTCAGAAGAACACATATGGCCCTCTAAGGCCTCATATTTCATCGCTGAAAGCTGACTCAAGCAGTTTGATAGTGAGAAAGGAGGCCCAGAAGAGTGCATGAGGCCCCCTGGGCCTCCTTTTTCATTTTCAAAGACTAACTCAAGTGTTTTGGTGGTGGGTGTTATGTCCTTGGGGCTGACACCAGTTCCCCATCAGGTCCGCAATTCCTGCGGGGGCGTTCTTAGTCCCCATTGGCTGGCTCCCTTCGACAGTCGGCTATAAAAGCCGGCTGCTAGGTTGAGCCAGCTGCTGTTCGCTGGTAGGTCTGCTGTTAGCTGCAGACGCGACAGCCCCCTTTATTCCCACGAATAAAGTGTGTTATGACTGAAGCTCTGGTGTGGCCTCCCTCCTTTCCGAACTTAACATTGGCGACGAGGATGGGATGTGGCCAACCAGCAGCTATACGAGAGCTGAAAATCACAAATCTGAAGCGCTGAACCGTAGCCGCGACGTTGAGAGCTCGGTCAGCCATTTGAGAAGGAAGCGAAGCGGAGCGTGTAGCCGCTCAAGAACACAAACTAGCTACAAGAGAGTGGGCACTGAGAGCCTCAGCCGCCCAACAGCAAACTTGCCGGAATTTTGTGTAGCGAAGCTCCAGCGCGACGCTCACGACCGCTAAATCTAGGCGCGAAATTCAAATCGCTGTCAGCGCGCAGCTGCAGCATCGCCGCCTCGCCCTTGTAAGGGCGCGAATTTCAAACAGACGTCAGTTATAGCGTCTGTTCCCAGCCGCCAAGGGCTGCAGAAAGCGAGAAAACCCAGAGAGATTCCACGAGCTGAATCACCAGACCGAAATTGCACTGCGAGCGCAGCTGCTACCTGTACAACCCAGAGAGAACTCAGAAGCTGAACACTCATTTAACAGCACTACAAACTGTAGCTGCTACCTTTTCCAGGGCCTGTATTCCCAGTGAGACTTGTTTTACCTGCCACAAGCTGAACCAGTCATGAATGCGAATCCGGCGTTCCAGCCATTTAAGCCAGACGAAGATAAATGGGACTCTTATAAAAACCGGTTTAACCATTATATTGATGCTGTGGGTCTGGCCGACGCTACAGACAACAAAAAGAAGTCCTTCTTCCTGAGCTACTGTGGGGCCATCGTATTTGACACAGCAACAGCACTGTTCGCCCCAAGAGAACTCAAGAATGTCCCATGGTCTGAGCTACTGGAGACCCTCTCCAATCATTATTTGCCGAAACCGTCACAGATCGCGAGACGCTTCGCCTTTCGCATGAGGAAGCAAGCGGAGGGAGAAACCATAAACCAACATATGGCAGCCCTCAGAACCGCAGCCCTGCACTGTGAATTTAAAGGCTACCTTGATGACATGCTCCTGGACCAACTTGTCTGCGGAGTCAAGGATACAAGACTACAGAGGCGGTTGTTGGCAAGGAAGGACCTCAACCTCGCACAAGCCATCGAGGAAGCCCTGGCTACAGAATTGGCAATACAGTCAGCGGCTGAAATACAGGGAAGCACCCCCAAAGGTAATCCAGTCACTGTACATTCTGAGGAGGCAGTGAACGAAGAAGAGCCCATCGAGCAATCTGAGGTGCACCGTCTCAAACCATTCAAGCAGCCACAGGTAGGAACTAGACCGAGAGAAGGCAACGTACCTAGGCACACCCCGCTGTGCCTCTCCTGTGGGGGTCCCCATGCCAGAGCAACGTGCAGGTTCAAAAGTGCCACCTGCAACAACTGCAGCAGAAGAGGACACATCGCTAGGGTGTGCCAGGCAGCGCACGTGGCTCCACAAAAGCCACCATCTTACGCCCCCTCGGGGCCATCCAGGCAAGTAGAAAATTGTTTTACATGCTATCAAGCTAACCATACCTTCTTAACACCCAATAAAATTAAACTCTCCATTCATTTAGAAGGTAGACCCTGCCTAATGGAGGTCGATACCGGGTCAGCGCTCTCGATTATTTCATGGAGCACGCTCAAGAAAATACGTCCCAGCCTGTCCAGGAAACAGCTGCAGAAGAGTCGCCTATCCTTACGAGACTACCAAGGGAAGAACATTCCAGTAATCGGAACAGGCAAGTTCCTAGTCAAATTCAGAACCTTTAAAGGCCACCTGCCATTAGTGGTAGTTGATGGTGCCCTTCCTAGTCTTTTGGGGTTGGATTGGTTCCCCTCTCTTTGCCTTAGCTTAACGGGGGTTCATTCTGTCTCGTCCTCTGACACCGACTCACTGTTCTCTGATTATGCTGATGTTTTCAGCGATGAATTAGGGTGCTACAAGGGCACACCTATTTCCTTCTCAGTGGATCCCCAGGCAGTTCCCATCCGCTTGAAACCGCGGAGAGTGCCATTCGCTCTGCGTTCTAAGCTGGATGCGGAACTAGACAAATTGTTAAAACAAGGGGTAATTGAACCCACGGATTTTGCTAAGTGGGAGACACCTATTGTCACACACCTAAAAAAAGATGGTAGTATAAGGATGTGCTCAGACTACAAGACCACAATAAATCGCTATTTACAGACTAGCGCATACCCAGTGCCAGTAATCCAGCATTTATTGACACATTCGAACCCGGAACGATATTCGCCAAATTGGATATGTCACAGGCTTACCAACAGTTTCCTGTGGACAACCAAACGGCCGAATTGCAAACCATTGTTACCCACAGAGGGGCCTTCCGATGCAAGCGCCTCCAATTTGGTGTGAGTGTCGCCCCGGGCATATTCCAGTCGTTAATGGAACGGATCCTACAGGGCCTCCCTGGCGTGGTTCTGTACTTTGATGACATCTTGGTTTCCGCCCGGGACAAAACACAGCTTTTCCTCAGAGTTAGAGGGGTGTTGGACAGATTCAGACAGCATGGCCTCAAACTAA